ACAGCTCTGCAAACTGCGCCTCACCACTGACCGGGAAGGCCGCCAAGTGGGCCAGCACAGGTCGCACATTGTGGCAGCAGTCAGCAGTGCATGGCTGATAGCTAGAGCAGCAGCGTCAGGGTCGCAGGGTCGGATCGTGTCAAGCCTCTCGCCCGGCCGGCCGCGTGCAGACGTCGGCCTGTCTGCTGTCTGGAGTGATCTGTCGGCGGTCAGTACGACCGATCAGGTCGGAGTTTTCTGATGGTTGGAGGGTCTATCTGTATGTACTCCTCGAGATCTCTCCAAATCTGCCCTCTGATCAACCGTGATCATTCGGGAAGTCGGTGCTCATAGAGACTCATAGAGCCGGAGCCCCGTTTCCGCACTGCGGCGCGGCGCACGGTGCCTCCGGGGGGCCCCGCGCCGGCCCAGAGCCTGACAGTCGCACGCGCCGCGCTGCGGGGCGTGCGACTGTCTTTGTTTGAAGTAAAAAGTCGAATCAGAGCGGTGTCGGCGTTGTCCTGAGTTTTCTCCCCCGGACCGCCCGTCCGGCACCGCTCCGGGACGCACGCCGGCGAAGCACCATCAAGCTGCTGTACGGCCCCGGAATCGCCTCCCCTGGCTTAGCTAAAGTGAGAGTTATTGTGCACATGGTTAGTCTCTACAATATATACACTGACACTGAACCTCCCAGAGCTCGTCCCGGTCCGCCACGCCCACGGCCATCCTCGGCCTCCGGAGGGCCCCGGCCGCGGCGCGGTGCGGCGGCGTCACAAATCCGACGGCAGAGCACCGGGACGCGGTCGGGCGATCTGAGGTCCAGTGAGGCGTATGCATTGCCTATCCAGGGCTATCACCTGGACCTATCAACAGGCGCCTGCGGCGCCGTGGTCAGGAGCTGCTGCTCCAACCTGTTCACACTTCCGTACGGCACAGTAAGCGAATAAAAAATCGACGCGATCATCCGGCCCGCTGGGTGCGCTTCTCAGCTCCTCGGCCCTGGCCCCTGGGTAGTGGACAGTATCCGGCAAAAAAGCCCGGGCTCTGACAGCGCCTTGCGCCTCGTCTCGTGGTCCATATGAGCTGCCGCGAGTACATCGCGGAGGAGGCCGCTGCACTGCGCGAGCAGCGTGCCTCCACGGCCGAGGCTGAGCTGCGTGCGGCCATAACCTCACGGGCCGTCGACGCCCTCGAGGCCGCGATCGACGCTTGCGCCGCCGCCTCGGAGCCGAGCAGAGCCGAAGCGAGGAGGCTACTGAGGGAGCTGCGGGCGGCCGAGTCGTCGGAAGCGGCGGCGGCATCACAGCAGCGCCACTCGGCGGCGCACGAAGATGACACAGCGGCCGAATGGGCAGCGGCGCGGCAGCGTGCAGAGCGCCGAGACCCGTATGAGGACGACGCGAGCACTCCAACCGCCGCAGAGCGCGAGCGGAACGAGCTGAGAGCGCAGGCCACGCACGCGCGCATCTTGGGCGAGGCGGAGAACGGCTGCCGGCGAGTGGCCAGCGGCGCGTGCCGCTTCTATGTGACGCCGCCGATCAACGGATACTACCGCCGGCTGGTAACCCTAACCGTAACCCTAACCGTAACCGTAACCTAACCCTAACCCTAACCCTAACCCCAACCTAGGTGCACGAACTGGCTGAGTCGCACAACCTGGCACATGAGTCTGTCGCGGACGTCGGCACCGTCTACACCTACAACTGGTCGCGGCACGGCAAGCCGTGCTTGAGCGATTGCCCGTGCACGTTCTGCTT